AACAAAAAAAGAAATTAACTTGAAAATTAAAAATTAAAAATTAAAAAAAAATTTTCAAACAAGAAAATCAGAATGCCCATAATGACTTAATAGTACAGGAAAAAAAAAATGTTTATTAAAACTAGAAGACAATAAAAAAGCATTAAGTGCGTGTGAAGTTCATTTATTGTAGAGCAAAATAAAAATGAAAAAAGAAAAATTTTAAGACCTTAGAAACTAATATTTGTTTTACAATATGTGTTTACTATTATTATTTTTGTAGTTTGTATTATGAATAATAATATTATATTGCTTATGTTGTATGAGACAAAATTTTTTTCTTCATTATTGTTCGACATTGTAGAAAGAGATTTTGCGATATCGTTGAAAAAAAAATATATATAAAAGAAATCCCTATTAATCTATTATTTTGAATATTCATATACTCTCAAAAGTGATAATTTACATCTTATAAATAAAAAATTAAGTTCTTACATACGAAAATAACATTGTGATGTACTGTCCCACTACTACCACATACAGTGTCCTACTACTGCCGTAATCCTCAATGACTATGTCCCACTACTGCAGATTTCACGACTTATTTGAAAAATTATTTAATCAAACAGATAATGATAAGCACAGTCAATGAATATTGTTTTCTCAAGTTAAGACCTATATTTTTAATTAAAAAAAAAAATTCAGGTGAATTAACTTTGGTGGAACTTCAAAAATAAGAAATAAATATTTTTGGCTTAAAAAAAGTGTTCCACTACACTTTATTTTACTTTAGTCGAGTACAACCGCAGAAGGCCGAACAAAAGACAGACGTCGAGTCCCTCAGTGCGTAAGCAGGAAGAGAGACAGCTACATGCAGCAATGTACCTATATAGCTTCATACACGGCTGTATTACTACTGGGAGTCGGAAAAAAGTCTTGTAATACTTTTCTCGGTCTGGCCCCTATATGCCCACAGTTCATAATGCGTAAAAAGGAACTTTGTTTCAAAGAAATAACAGAAGCCAATTAATATTATGGGACAAGGCTTCTAGGATTTAAAAAACAGCCTTAGAAATAGTCGAAAGAAAATAAAGTTATTAGTGTAATACAAATACTTATTTTGGTGATAAACTAACTTTTAAAGGAAAAGATTTTAGAAAGATTCTTTCAGTCTTGGAAAAAAAAAATTGAATCATTATATCTTTGGACACTATATTGTGTTCTAAAATAAAAAATCAATATTTGTTTCATTGACAAGTTATTTATTAATTCTTTATCATAACTTTTTATTATATACAAAAACAATATTTTTGTCTTAGCGTTTTCCATGACTATAAACAAATCTTATGGTTAACGTTGCGTGATAAAGATTCAAAAGTGAAATTAAAATTTGTATTTGAATAAAACGAGATAATGATTTGGAATTTAAAAATATTGTTTGGATAAAAATTTTTGACATGATCTAATCTTAAGAGAATTAAAAAACTTAATTCTTATACATTTGCATAATTGTGTTATACTATAGCTTAGTTCATTAAAATGATAAATGAATAGTAAATTTATGATTCAAATATTGGTTTATGACATGATAAGTTCCACTCTAATTATTATTTTAAACTGTTTACTTTTATAAAAAAAAATTATACTATTTTATTGTAAGTAAATGCCAGTTTTACATATACTGTTTATTTTCATTAAATATCATTAGTTTTACAAAAGTGTTCTATAAATGACTGATTAATTTACAAAAAATTTAGATTGTAGTATTAAAATGCATCGTTTAAGCTTGAAAACATAGGCATTTAGTTAATATGTACATCAAGTTTTCAATGAATACGGAGGTTTTATTGCACATGAATTTCTTTTTTTTTAACGTTGCACATTATCTAAGTTAGAGACAAAATGGTAGACTTTATGTAAATATTTAAGATATTTCCATAAAAAGGAACAGATGATCTCTATTTGCCGTGGTAAATAGGGCTACTTTTTGTTCTAGATTCTACGTAGGGCACAATTGATTATTTATTTCCGTAGTTCTAGAGTATCAATATCTCAACGAGTAATGCTTTAAATAGTAGAAATTATGTCCATGTTGTAATGAAAGAACTATAGGAAAAGCTTAAGCAACTTAATAGTTCTCAACAACTTACTTATATTTTTCTGAGTCAAAACTTGAATACAGTCGGTGAACTATTATGAAGTGCCTGAAACCGAGATTAAATCTCACTCATGGTAGACCGTATAATGGCAAAGGTGGACTTTAACTACTCAGTCTACTTTTTGAGGGGTGACTATTGAGTGTTTGTTTTCGGAGCCTTCGGGCAGTGTGTCTATCACCCAAGAATTTGTGAGCGAGTGCACATCGATTTCACTCTCTCTCCAACCAAAGTGGCAGTGGAGGAAGAGCTCCCCCTATCATTATCTATCACCTAAGCTCC